CAAAAACTACAAGTGCTAGAATTCTCAAATTTTGCATGGGGGTGGGTCCTTTTTAGAACCAAGGTGCTCACTGAGACGGGATTTTGCAAAATGTAACCCCTAAATGGCTAAAACGGGATCCACGCGTACGAAGTCGCGGGCGGCCGCTAGTAGTGGATAAATATGCTCGTATACAGGGTGTCCTAGAATGGGTGAATCAAACTGATAGGGGAGGTAGCTATACTAATGTACTATCCCTAAAAAATATGAATAAATGTTGAGTTCGGAGTTTTTTTTTTAATAATGTGCTCCAAACTTCGAAATCTATTCATTATTTTCAAAAGTTTGTTTACAGATAAACGAAGCGATCATGTACAATTAATATTAGTAAGAAAAAAAGTAAAATAAACTCCAAACGCAGTAATTATAGCCAGATACTAGGCAAAGCTGATTTATTTTCACTTTAGAAAAAAAAGGGTTGTGTCCTTATGCGCTTTATTTTTTTTTTCATATTTTTAGGGATAATACATTAGTAGAGCTACCTCCAGTTTGATTCACCCATTCTGAGACACCCTGTATGTTGTATGATGCTAATCCTAATCATACGGAAGAGTTGAAAGAACCCATCCACAAACAATTGGCTTTCCTAATCAGCCTGCGGGGTCTCCACGTCGGTCGTTGTATCCATCGTGCTTTGTTACAAGTTAATTTCACGAGGATTATATTTGACCGTGACTTATTAGTAGCGGTAATTCAATGGTGCATAGCGGAATGCATTCGTGACTGGGTAGTCCGGGTACGCATTCAATGTTGCGGGTTTTGCGGGACGTCCCCAATTTTTGTGAGTACTTAGGTAAATATGATCGCACGAGACTTCTGCTGCAATCTTTAGGTAGCATTTGCTTTTAAAATCTGGTATGAATGATTGAGTTTTCATCTGCCGGCTGTTAAAACTTAACTAAAGTAACAAATTGCAGGTATATTATGTTAAAAACATTAATAAATGTAAAACATACTTTATAAATAATGTAATAAGAACATCTTTAATCTTGGCGGTTTGACTAATGAGTTAAGTTTCTTCCTAGACCTTAAAAACTTAAAACCTTAAAACCAGTAATTTTATTGTAGCAGCGGCTGTACTATATAATTTAGACACGATTAATATTATTAATTCAAATATTCATCTATGTCATCCGCGGTAAGCAAGATGATCTCGTATCGATTTCACACGTATAATTTGTATAATATAATAAGATAACTTTTATACATTGATCTTATCACTCACCCGAGTATCTTAATACTATGTATTTGCCGATTTGCTAAAAAGTATAAGTATGAGAATGACATACTTAGTCATCTCACTCGATAAAATATCGAATTGTGGGTGCTATAACACCTATCAGATTCGATTCATTTTCTATATCTCTCGCTCTCACTGGGATCGACAGATAGAGTTGGCAAACCAAAATTGCATAGCAGGGTAGACCCCTGTCCCGATACGTCATCACACCTGACATCACTAATGTAGTACTGCGGTCAGGAATAGTTAACCGACCACCCGCAAATCTATTTAGTCGTCCTTTATAGGAGTCCTGATGATGATTGTGTTTTGCAGGCTTAATGAGAAATTCAATAATGACAGCGGCAATGACAGAAGTGGCAGGATTAAATTATATTACGATTCGCGGAAGGACAGGACAATCTTAGCATTGATTGCTTGTATAAGTTACAGTCAAAATTCAGTATAAGAGTAATGTAACGGCGAAACAGTAGTAGTATTTTTTAGAAGGTCGTAACTTTTTATTTGTTCATATAGTATCGTATCTGGGTTACAATTCTCATGCGTTGTTTATTAAAATCATTTCCTAGCATTAATACTGTTAAAATGTTTGGCTACAACTTTCTTGTTTATTTGTCGCATACATTAAGAGTATTTTTCTATCTATTTAATGCAATACATAAACGATTTTTTATAAAAACACCGTTTGATAAATACTTCCTAACTGCTTAGTTTATGCTGCTTACGATTCAACATGAGCATCATAAATGTTATTACATACGTAAGTAAGTATTTAATTTAAATGAGGCTCTAAATAAAAATATTTTTTATGTATTTTACTTCATATTATGTGTAATAGATAATATTTAATAAGTGCTTTAACATTTTAGCCTATTAAGTGTAATTGCTTTTCTTTACATTTTCAATTTTAGTAATTTTTATGTGTCTAACATATTACGTGCGTAACAACAAATTAATTGTATGTACCTTTTGTCGGCCGTTTGGTGTAGTGGTTCAGAACGGACTACTATGCCGAGAGGTCCCGGGTTCGATTCCCGGCCGGGCAGAAATTGAAATGATGAATTTTAATTTCTGTGACGGGTCTGGGTGTTACTATGTATAATATGTATGTATTAAAAAAAAAAGTATATATAAGTAGTATATCCGTTAAGCTAGCACCCATAATACAAGCATTAAGTTGCTTACTTTGGAGCTAGCTGGCGTTGTGTGAAGTGTCCAAAGATTTATTATTATTTATTATTATTATTACCTACTCGTGTTTCCTGAAATTGTATGCTGCATTGTTTTGCTAACTTCAGTACGATTTTCAACTATGCTTGTTAGCGACGNATTTTCAGCCTAAAACCAAACAAATTTAGGTCGTTGTTAAAACAGTAATTACCTAACTATTTATTGTTTTAACAACGATGTGATATTTCGAGTTTAAATTAATTAATTGCCAAGTCATAGTATATTTAACATAGAATCTAAAAAATTTGTTTTCTTTTTCTGTTTCTGTTTACTCAATTTTTAAAAACGATACCTATGTATAAACTATTTGTGAAAACTATTTTGGCAAATGTGAAGTTTAATTGGTAACTCTATATGTGTTATAGAATGCTGTTTGTTTTCCTAACAATAAAATAAAAATAAAAAAAATACTTTCAAAGTATTTTACTTTATCCCCGCGATTCTACCGACCGACCGGGACTAGCTAGGTCGGCTTGACTCGGGCTTACTCGGGAGTGCTCGGGGACGGCGGCGCCGCGGCGTCAAAATAATTAATAATTAGTAATAACTAGGTGATTGCGCTCTCAAAGTGGGCAGTAGACAAAATAAGTTTGGGAACCGGTACACTAGGCACTCACTCCGGTTCGGGCGGCGGCGGCTGCGCGAGCCAGGCGGCGCGCGGCGGCGGCTCCGAGTGTGCTGTGCAGTAACAAGGGGCGGCGTGTAGTCTCCGTCACCCGGCTGTATACACTAGGCCAGGGATGGCGAACCTTTATGTTGCAACGTGCCACTTTTCAAAAACAATTTTGATGTACCTAGTCGTAGACGTGCCACTTAAAATGCTATCAATGAGGGAGCATCGTACAAGTGGCTCCACTGGCGAATGACAGCATTATAGCACCTTACTCTACAATGGCGCCAACTGATGTGGCACAATGGGGCCGTCCATATATTACGTCATTCTAAATTAGGGGGGGGGGGGTGTTTCGAAATTGACGTCATTCTTATTTCTATTCTTATATTGTTCACGTACAAAAAGATTATTTCTAAAAAGAAATTTCTTCCAGCACACCTAGTAAGTGAGAAAACCTAAAAAAACTCATAATAAACATAGATGTACACAAATACAGTAATAACTACAGATAAAATACTCTAAAAATAATATTACATATAATACTAGCTGCCCGCCCCGGCTTCGCCCGTGGTACTTACATGTATTATACATATAAACCTTCCTTAAGAATCANGGGAGAGCCCGGCGTGCATTTGGGAAGAGGGGAACCAGCACCGCGCTCCTACACAGAGGAGATAACCGCCGACGTCACGAAGCCACACGAAGCACTAAAGGCCCGTATCGCGGAAGCAGAGAAGAGACGTGCCGCCGCCGCCGCCGCCGCCGCCGCCGCAGCCGCCGCCGCCGCCTCCACGCCCACCGCGGCCAATGTTGCCGCCGCCACCGTCGCCGCCGCCAACGCCGCCGCCGCGACTCCCGCGACTACGGTGACCACCGTGCCGACTGTTGAAGGACAATACGCGCCACCCACGCCGCAAGTGCATGAACAAACGCCGCGACTGTCACGAGTGAATCAAGACACGCGCTCCGTCCGCTCGTCAAGAAGAAGGGCAGAAATAGAGGCCAAATTAAGAGTGGCCCGCCAGGAACTGGAAGTTGCCAAAGCGGAATTGGAGTTGGCCCAATTGGATTCCGACATGGAAGAGGATCCAGAAGAAGTGCAGTACAGGCAAATGCAGGTCGAAAATTGNTAGGATGATTGTAGGGGGGGGGGTGTCTAAAATCAGAAAAAATCGATGACGTAATTTATGAACGGCCCCAATGTGACTAGGCACTCACTCCGGGTCGGGCGGCGGCGGCGGCTCCGAGTGCGCGATGCAGTAACAAGGGGCGGCGTGTAGTCTACCTAGCGGAGCGATGACGTCACAGCACACAATCACGGTCCTATCACAGAATAATAATAAGTACTACGTACAGAAGTTTTACTTCGCGAAGGTATTTAAAAAAATATGCTCAACGTCTTTAACAATATGGTGTAATTTAGCCTGTCTCAAGAGTCAAGCACAATTTTGTTGACAAACGTCAGTGATCGGCACTGCGCCGAAGCTATAGGGCTGACTTCGGTAAAATGATGTGACGTGAGGTGCCAAACTGCGGAAAATGGCGGAGGAAATACATGATTTAGCATGAATTATCATGAATAATATTAACCACTTATTTACCTCTCAGTGTCTTGAGGCAACTTAAAGAAGTACATTCTGTGTTTTTATTATTATTTAGGCAGTCAAATACTGCACAGTATTTAGTACACCATTTTGTTTATTTTCTTCCATCATACACAAGAATACGCGTGCGTGAGTCAATGTTCGCTCGTATGTGAGGCCTTGTCGAATAGTATCCTGTAGGTGGGCCATCGTGCGTGTTTTGTTTTCGATGTAAACTCGCGGAGATGAACAGGCCTGGTCCTATTTAGAACTCTATGTGGTCTACGTTCCCCGGCTGTATACACTAGGCACTCACTCCGGTTCGGGCGGCGGCGGCTGCGCGAGCCAGGCGGCGCGCGGTGGCGGCTCCGAGTGTGCTGTGACGCGGGCGCCGCGGGCTCCCGGCGTGGGCTGTCCAGGCGACGCCGCGCCCGCTGAGCGCTCGCGAGTACGAGAACTACTGCGTCTGCGCATATAAAAAACATTCGGTATGTTTATTTATTTATTTATTTATTAGGTACACCAACAAAGTCACATACATAATACAGTTCATACATTTTAACATGGTTTAACACATGATACGTATATGACCTCAATTACAGGTATACACAGCATTTCTTTTTGCAATGTTAGGGTAATTATACACTATATACAGGGTGACTTTNACACAAACGCATACAGTCCACTGCAGTCCACCACAATGCTACAGTCAGCGTCAAATAGTTCGTGACACGCAAAGTAGCCAATAAGTTCGCAACGCGTCTTTGTTGCAATTGGAATAAGGTTGTCAATTGTTTTTATCCACAACGAGGAAGCTCTTGGCCTGTATCTCGCCTGATGGTAAGTGATGATCAGGCCGAAGGTGGAAGCGAGCTTCACCCGGAATCCTCAACCACAGAGGAACTGGCTATCTTGCCTCTAACAGCCGGAACACAATAATGGTGTTAACATTGTTGCTATGGCGACAGACTTAGGTAAGATGGTGGTAGCTAGTCAGGCGGACTTATAACAAGCCCAGCAACCAAACCGAACAGAAAAATCTGCCCCCACTGGGATTCGAACCCAGGACCTCTGCGTCTGAAGCAGGTGTTCTTACCACTAGACCACAAAGGCGGTTAAAATTTTTGACCACATTGAGTGTCACTAACTATTTGACGCTGACTGTACAAGTTCAATGAGGTGTATTTTTCTAACTTACCATTCAAACATGTAACAAATTGATCAGCGGTACAACTCTATCAATAGCGCAACTTTACCATAAAATTTTCTAAAATTCATCATTAAGTCTATTGTCTTCTTATTGCCGATATTTAACGGGACGTTTGAGTTAATTAGTCAAAGTTAAACGACGATTAGCGTCCCGTAGATTGCACGAACAACTCTTTGTTATGCCAGCTTTTATAAGAAAGCGTTATGTGATGGGAGAAATAGATATTAGGCACTTTTATTTTCACAAATAATTCTGGTTTCGTAATAGAAAATTAGCCTATATGGTTTCGGCAAAGTAGTATAGAACCACTTCTATCTCCCACTCTTTTCGTGGATACCGGGGAGTGTTGGCCAAGTCCCCAGTTTGCCCAGATTTTGTTAGGTGGTCGTACTTCTGTGGTGGAGTCTACATGATTGATGAAATAAATCCTTCGGAATCACAATGAAAATTATATCGAACTTATCGTTCTGTAATCAAAATAACACTAGAGGCTATTAATTATCCTATGATTCTGTTTGCAGATGATTGTACAGCCGTATTTGACAACAAAGAATATATTAATAATGGCTTAGTTTCTATAATTGAATGGTTGCAAAGTAATAATTTGGTTATAAATATAGACAAAATTAAAATTATGGAATTTAAGCAAAGAACGGAACGAACTCTCAATTTACCCATAGTGCATAGTGGCAAAGTAGTGGATCCAACTGAAACCGTAAAATTCTTGGGTCTACATATAGATAGCAATTTAAAATGGCAAAGTCATATAGATTTTGTGTGTAAGAAACTTTCCCAGTCATCATACAGTCTTTACCACTTATCAAAAAAAGTAAATCTCCCTGCGTTGGTCACGTCTTACCATGGCTTCGTAGCTTCCAGATTGAGGTACGCCATAATCTTTTGGGGAAATGCTACTAACTGGGATAGAGTATTTAGGTGTCAAAAAAAGTGTATACGTGCTATGTGTGGCTTGAAGAGAACTGACAGTTGCAAACCTCATTTTCAAAATTTAAAAATATTGACTATGCCATGCCTTTATATATTTGAGCTGGCTCTATTTATTAGACATAACCCTTCCCTGTTTAAAATAATACCGAGATCGCGTAATCGCAATATTCTTATAGCCGTTGATGGATGTGTGTCATATAAGACAGCCCTCTACGACATGGGTGTTTTTGCTATGGCTCCGAAAATTTATAATAAAATACCTAATCATATTAAAGAGTGCACTGATATCTCAATCTTTAAACAAAAGCTATTTATATAATACTAAGGGTTCGGACAATATTTTCATTGATTAATGTTTCCGACAAAGTTTGTCAAATTGACTGACATGTTTATCGTATAGTACAGTCCACTATGAAAATTTGCTGTGGTTTGTTTCAACTACCCATTTTAAAATTTTTTGTCACTTTCTAAGTGTTGAATTTTATGGAATTGGGAAAGAAGTGCCGAGTTTGAAGCGTTCATGAGCAGACATTGCAGTTGAATATTCAAGTTCTGAATTTGATTATTGATGAATAATAAAATAAATCCTACTAGCTCGATTGATGGTTTCATTTAATTTATTTAAACCAGGTTACCTATAATTATATTTTTTCGTTAATTTATGAAAATATCAAATTAGCCCGTAATCCTGAATCCTGATACATAAAGTTAGCCTATTCATTTAACACAGGTACGACTGTACTCAGTGTTGCACTATCAAATGCAATTGACGCGCCTCTATGCCAGGGTTTTTATGTTCCTGGTCAGGCTATACATCATACTCCTTACCTGTGTTTCACAAATAAATTATTTGAATTTGAATTTGAATTTGAGTACTAATTATTCTAAGACTAGGCGCAGACCATCGATTTTTAGTTGGCCGATAATTGGGCCCGATTTTAATTTGTATGAAGAATCGGCCAAATCGAATCGGCGTAATATGCGCACTTCCATACAGCTCATACTGATCAACTGCCCGACTAAACTATCGGCCGACGAAAAATCGATGGTCTGCGCCTAGGCTAAATGAAATGAAAATGTTTTTTTTTATTGGACTACAAAAATGTTTCTTCTTTTAATTTCCTGGTTCGTGTAGACCTAGACTGCTACAATGGTCACCAGAGGTCATAACCCCGTGGTGTCGAGGATTGACCCCAATTCTAGGATCTAGGTTTCTACGTAATCTGAGTCAAGAACGGCCCCATGGTGCGCGATCCCACGGCTCTTAGGCTGAGTTTGCACCATCTTACTTTAACCGTAACTGTAACCGGTGTTTTTATGTGGAGTTTGACAAATATTTGACGTTATTAAAGTAAAATGATGCAGCGAGACTGCAAATAATGTGCCTATTAATTTTGTTGTGATATGCCAATAATGGCATTAAAGAAGAAACTTACAGCTTTCTTTGGTCGTTAGTGTTTCTTTTCAGTTTTGCGGGAATTCAAGTGTGTCTATGGAGCCATTATAATTTTAGTTTAACAATAAAATAGAGTATGAAGTGAAAGAGAAGACCATGAGAACTACCAATTAAAAATGTTTAGATTGAAGTTTATGAAATGAACTTATTGAAAAAAAAGCTAACAATACAAAATGCAAAGTTTCTACATAAATAGAGAATTTAATAAATTCATGCTATTTACTTATAAATATGAGATAATGTACCAAATAAAACAATCCAATTTTGTGAGATCTTCTAGTAAGCTATTAACATCCTCCTGTAACAATAACTTTATAAATGTAGCTATAGGCGTTCTTAACCCGGACCTAAGCTATTTACAAAACCTATTTTAGGCCGGAAATCGATCCCGGAACCCCGCAAGGCGATTCATCGCTCCATCCGCGTCCAATTAAAAGCATCATTATTATCCGGCAAAAATTAAATGTTCACTTAATTATTGTACTGCTACCGGCATATCCGTCTCTTTAGATGGACCGAGAACAGACAGTGGAAAATAGGCCCCTCTTTATCATTGCAGCATAATCAGTAAACATATTAATGACAGTTTCTAATGACCAATGTATTAATAATATTTATTGTATATGCTTAAATTAATCATAACCGGTTTAAAATGAGAAAATACAGGGTGGCCAGAGAGTTGAAGTTCAAAGCTAAAATTAAGATTCCTTACATCAAGGTGTATCTAAATCATCCCCATGTACTTTCTACGATTTTGCTTAGTTTAGGAGAACCTATAATTAGTTTTTATTTTTTTTCTCACTCTGGCGAGCACTTGTAGTTTGTTTTTACTTACTTACGCTAGAGAAGCTTCCAGTGAAGATCAATTCAGAGCAAAAATCTGCGTAGCCGAAAACGTGGTGAGTAACAACCGTGAAACTGTAAGAAAGTTGATGTTTCACTGGAAGCTTCCCTACCCTACAGCCAAAGGGGCGGAGCAGTAAAGAAAAATGTTGCAAAAACGGGAAATATTATTTAAACTATTTTCACGCGTACGAAGTCGCGGGAACAACTAGTAGACGATATTGATGAATGAAAGGTAGTTGCCCTTTGTGGTCTAGACACACTGCGCGTGCGATCATGGCTCCCATGCTCTACCGTTTTAATTGCAGCATAATATCAAACCAATAATGTGGAAATTGAACCAGAAGTCGTTGAAGATAACGTGGAATCCTATGTAAGATGAGTGGTGCAGGGAACTAACTAAAAACTAACAATAAAGTTTTTCTTAGTTCCAAGGATGGAACAGAATGATTTGTCAGTTTAATCAACCGACTTCAAAAAAAAGGAGGAGGTTCTCAATTCGACCCGTATGTTTTTTTTTTTCTATGTTTGTTACGCGATAACTCCGCCAATTATGAACCGATTTGAACAAATCTTTTTTCGGCGTATAGGTAATACCTCAAGGGTGGTCCCATTTAAATTTAATAATAGAAAAAACAACCCCCAAGGGTGGAAAATTGGGGATGAACTTTTTTATACGCAATATCTCCGCCGATTATAAATCAATTTGAACGATTATTTTTTTGTTGAATAGGTATTATCAAAAGGGTGGTTTCATGCGAATTTGAAGAAAATATTTCACCCCCAAGGGTGGAAAATTGGGGATGAACTTTTTTATACGCAATTTTTAGTTTTTTTTGTGTTCACGCATTTGAAGTCGGTTTTATTTTTTAAAAAAGTTATATTTTGACAGTTTGGTGCGGTCAACCAGCCCAATTGAAGCCATAAGTCCGGTTTCCACCAGGCAGAGCGGAGCGGAGAAGTGTTTTCAATAACCAATAAGATTTAATTATTTCCACATATCTTCGCT